GACCACTATAACAAAATATATATATTTAAAATATTGAATAAGATTATATATATATATATATATATATATATATTTATAATATAATTAATAAATTTAATTTAATCAAAGACTCACTAGTTTAGCTTGTGATCCAATATCGCAATCATGTCAATGACCAGTCTAATTTTCATAATATTAATTAAAATAAAAATCATAACATAAATAATTCAACTAAAAGAATAATATTATAACACATACAGTATCTTCATATCACTGAAAATAAATTTTATTTACTTCTATAGGACTCTAGTAATAGTTCCCTAGTAAAATGTTAAAATTAAATAGTCTACAATATCAATTAATATAAAAAAGGTAAAATTCAGCCATTATTTTCTTTTTCATTTAGTTGATCAATAAAAAATTATGATTAAAATAGATCATACCACATCAAATAGTTGAAGTAAAGGTATAAATCCAAGTTTGGTCTATTAGGCTGGCCTGAATAGTCTCAAATAAGGTAGCATTGAACTTGGAAAATGACTCAGATGAAAATGTAACTTTTTTTCCCTAATCCTACATGATAAAAAATACATTAAACTAACACGATAAAATGATTTGGATAAGACTATATTATATCATGTTAACATAACAAAGAAGAACTTAAAAACAAGATATAATTTTCCTATCCTGTCATATACATCTTCACCATCACATGAACCCTTAATATACTTTTTTTGTGGGTCCTTTAATATTATATAAGATTTAAGAATTTTTTTAATATTTTTTATTCAAAGAAAAAACTTAATTTGAGTTTTTAATTTATTTTATGTGGTTCCATAATGCACCCTACTATTTTACATATTTTTTTAATTTAAAATCATTTTGTTAAAAATCATTTTTTATTATTAAGAACACATTGTCATCTACGTTAGAATGCTCAAATAATACAAATTGTATAGAAATATTCTTGTATATAATAACTGAATTATAAGAATTTTTATTGGAGATGTCCCAATTGTAATTGCAAAGATTCGGAAACCTTTGATGTAGCAAATGAAAATTTATGCCTACATGGGTCTGTTTTTAAAACCTTGCTATCATTTTTTTAAATTATGTTATTAGTAAGGAGTATTTAATTATTTTTTTAACGAAATCTCTATTGAAGAATCTAATTGATTACTATCCTTCCAACTATATTTTTGCATTTACAAAACTTGAACTCAAAAGTTTATTTAAGGAAACTAAGTTCGGTACCACTCAAATAAAAAATAAAAAAATTAATGTTTTTCGAGTACATTTCAAATTCACTACCTTGCTATCATCTAATTAAAGATGTTGTTAGGGTGCAATGATTGAGAGATTTTGGTGTCTTTTCTAACGTGTACTGTAACGCTTAATTTATATAATATTGAATATATTTTTCTCTTAATATAATATATAATATTGAATATATTTTTTCTATATGATATTATCACAATTATATCATTAATCATATTTTTCACAAGGACAAAGAAGATTTTGTGAACTTATTACATTACATATCATTCTAAAAATATTTACAATAATGTACTATTTTATACATTATTCATTTCTTCCACTTCTATTACAATATTTACAATGATGATGAAAATAATAAATTTACAATTGAATTAACATGATTGACGGGAAAAAAAAAATTATAATGTCCATTAAACAGTCTTCACATTCTAATTCCCTCCACGGAAGACAACAGTAATAACAAGGACCTGGAATTGCAGGTAGATCCATCTATTTTGTAATATATTTAATTTAAAAAAATAAAGAAAATAATGAGTGAAAACAAATATCCAATAAATACAAATAATTAAATAGAATGTACAGACACACACACACACACACACACACACATATATATATATATATATATATATATATTGAATTTTCATGTTACAATAAAATTTGAATTATACTTGTAGTGACTAGTCAGGATAAATGAGCATCATCATAATATCAACCAACAAAAGAATATTTCACCTTAACCAACAAGAGAATATTTCACCTTCATTCCTTACTCATTTAAAATTTTAAATTCTCAAGGTCAAACTTCTAACTACAAATTAATTCAAACTTTATTTTCTATGGTCATAGAATAATATTTATCTTCATAAACACATGAAGAAATAACAAGACAAGTTAAAGAGACTTTAACAAAACTATATTATAGTTAATCAAAAAATAATATTTATGTAAAAGGAATATATTAAGAATACCAATCACGTAAATGAAAAATGATAATCATTATAAAATAATTAAACAACATAAACTATGAATACCTTATTAATTATTATAGGTAAAAATGATCATAGGTTAAGCAAATAAATGAAGTTAGGGACACTTCACAAAGTAGATAAAAAAATAACATAGATAAATAAACATAATATCATATAACATTTTAAAGAGATAAAGTTCTCCTCCCTTTAGAATGTCGACTTTATCAATTGCGTAAAAATTTCACAATCCTCTTCCTGCTCATTTTTTTTCTCTCTCCCTCTTTCTTTTTTTCTTTCTTTCTCTCTCTCTCATTTAAATTTTCACCTCCGTTTGTTTTCATTTTCTACAGCCCCCTCCTCCTATTTATAAAAGTCTGGAGTGGCCATTCTGAACTCTAAATGGTCCGTTTTGGACTCATTCGATATGTGAAAATTTTACATCCAGAACGGCCCGTTTTCAACACTAGAACGACCCGTTCTCATCACCAGAACGACCCGTTCTGGGATTGAATTTAACTCACAATGACCTAGTTTGGAACGGCCGTTCTCAAGTAGAGTTTTTAGGCCTTTTTAATAGTTTCGAACAGCACATTCCACTTTCGGGAACGACTCGTTCTGGGGCCTGGGCCTTTAAAACAATCTTGGAATTTTATGCAAAAATAATTTTTATAAATATTTATTATTTAATTAACATACTCATAATTAAAAACCTCTAAAATTTCAATAAAATTCCTTTAATTAATTTAAAATAACTATAAGAAAATAATCTTCATAAATATAAAAATAAATAATAATTAACTATTGTATTAATAAAAAATTTGGGATGTTACATGTACCAATAAAATAAATACATATCATTTAACGGAGTTACATTAATATTTTAAAAAAAAATTATTTTTATTTAAAATTTTATATTATTTATGTTTAACTCCTTATTTATTATGTTTTAAAATAAAAAAAAATAATTATTGGTTTAAAATTGTTGAATTTGTTGAGGTTGCAGTTTTTCAATCAAATGTTTTATGCGATTTTTCGATCAAAAGGTGAGGAGAATGGGTGTAATTTTTTGATCCCAGTTTTTCGAAAGGGCATGGAGTGCGGGTGCAATTTTCGATCAAAGGGCACGATTTTTATTTTTTATTTATGAAAGGATGTTGTAGCAATTTGTCGATCAAAGGATTTTGTACGTTGTTAACGTTAAAACTCTACAATTATTTTGTCCTATTTTTCGTTCTATTCAAACTTTGTGTTTTTTGTTCTGTGATTTTATCAGGTGATGACATCGAAGTTTTTGCCTTCACTATCACCATTAAAGTGCACCAAAAACGCATCACCAACACAATACTCAATTATGCCTTGGAAATTTGCTCCTAGTTCAACCTCATCCTGCATTTTCCCAAAAATTTCTTCACGCCATGGATAGAATTTATTTAGTTCAAATCTCCTCCATAAAATTAAAAGGAAAAATTAATATAATTATTTAGGGACTAAATTAAAAATATAATAACTTAATATTAAAATATAAAATGACGACACAAATCAAAATTAATGACGTAACATGATTATATAAAAGTCTTTCAAATAATGTTAGATATCGTAAAAATTCTCTTATTAATAAAATAATTTAAACTTTGTGTTCACCAATATATCATTTGAGCACAAGTTATTTTAATAATATGATAATAATTTAATTAAATAATATGAATATTAACTTTATTTATTAATCAAAATAAAGTTTAAAATAACAAACAATGCTAAAAAATGATTGCTCAAATTATATTTTTTAATCAAAGATCAAAATTTGATTCTTGTATTGAATATAAAGTCGTGATCAGAGATAACAAAATAATGAATATTAATTTTATTCATTAATCAAAATAATGAATATGAAGTCGTGATTAAATAATATGAATATTAACTTTATTTATTAATTAAAATAAAGTTTAAAATAATAAAAGAATACTAAAAATTGATTGTTCAAATTATGTTTTTTAATCAAAGATCTTGATTCTTGAATATGAAATCTTGATTAGAGACAATATTTTATTTTTAATAAAGTCAATCAGAGAAAAATGAATTATATATATATATTTTTTTAAAAGCAACAAAATAGTTAGACCCCTAAAAAACTTTACTAACTAAAAGTATAGTTTGTGAAATATTGGGTATACCTACATTTCTCAAACGATACTTTCGGTTAAACTAATATAAGCTAATTCTCGAAAGATCAACAAGACTTGCAACACTACATCCACGTACAAAGAATTAATGTCACCAAATCTAATTAAAATACTAAATGGATTTCTGAAGTCAGACACACGATCTATGCTTTAGTTTGAAAATGGTACATTTTACATGGATATGTGATTAAAATGACACATTTTACACCGATGAGTGATTGTATACTGCGCAGAAAAGGAGCCATATGCATAAAATTGCTCAAAATTTTCATTATACAAGGCATCTCCATGTCAAAAAGGGTCACTTCCAGCAGACCTATTATTGCCTTTTTCCCACAAAAGCACTACATCTGCACGGCTCCTCAGAGTGGCGTATTAAAAAAAATGTACACATAATAATAATAGTAATATAAGTCTGTATAATACAGAATCTCTCATGATTAAGGTGGTTTAAATTTCACCTTACCTAAAATTTTGGGATCCTGCAATGTCTTGGCTCAAAGGCTCTAATATTTAACCAACCAGTGGGATTTCTCTTTGCTTTTGTGAGAAGAAAGTGGCTAAAGGGTATTGAGGTCAAAGGGAAATTTGGAAGTTGACGTAGGTTGGAAAGAGACAACCTTGTCCAAAAGACTCGGCGTTAAGAATATATAAATAAGGAAACCATGCCAAACGGAAAAAGCCCCCCCAAGAGTAATAGCAAATGCAATACTGCTAAGGCAAGCTAACGAACCAAACACAAATCCTCTCATTTACCTTGTCTCTCTCTGCCTCCAAAATATTCAAACAAGAAAAGAAAGGAATTACACTGCACATAATAATACCCCTATATCTATTCTACAATCTCAGATTCTCTTCCTTGGTCTCAAATGCTCACAATGGCAACATTCATCACAAAAATTGCCATCATCTATGCTTTTCTCGCAATTTTTCTCTCTGCAGGTTCCCTGTTTGTTCTGTTTTGTTTTTGCATACTATTTATGTTTTTATAATATTTAGCTAGCTACAAGGTTTTAAAATAGCCACTGCAATTTTGGTAGTCACAATTGCAATTGCATTTGTCAGCAATTTCTTGCCATATCAAGGATCGTGACTATCGCAACCACGTTTAAAACCTTGGCTAGTTCTAACAACTTGAACAATATAAGTAGTACTAAGTACTAACACATTTCATTGATCGTGCAATTACAGATATTGGAGTTTTTCAAGGTGTTGAATCATTTGGAATCAACTATGGGCAAGTGGCTAACAATTTACCTCAGCCAGACAAAGTCCTTGAATTGTTGAGCACCCTTAAACTCACAAAGACAAGAATCTATGACACCAACCCTGAGATTCTGAGTGCTTTTGCCAACTCAAACATTGAAATCATTGTGACAGTGGAGAATGAAATACTAAGCCAGTTAGATGATCCTCAACAAGCACTTCAATGGGTGAACAGCCGCATCATACCCTACCTACCCGGGACAAAGATCACAGGTGTTCAGGTTGGGAATGAGGTCTTCACTGATGATGACACGACTCTCATTCAGCACCTTGTACCAGCAGTGGTGAACATTCATAATGCTCTAGCTCAGTTAGGCTACTCAAACATCAAGGTTTCAACACCTAGTTCCCTAGCAGTGCTTGATCAATCTTACCCTCCTTCAGCTGGTAGTTTCAAAAGTGAGATCTCAGGGATCATGTACCAGTTTTTGAACTTCTTGTCAAGCTCCAAGTCCCCCTTTTGGATCAATGCCTACCCCTACTTTGCTTACAAGGATGACCCTAATACCATTCCTTTGCAGTATGTGCTGTTTAATCCTAATGCAGGAATGGTTGACCCTTACACCAACCTCCACTATGATAACATGCTTTATGCTATGGTTGATGCTGTTTCATTTGCCATTGCTAAGATGGGGTTCAAAGGGATAGAGGTTAGGGTCTCTGAGACTGGTTGGCCTTCAAAGGGTGATGCTGATGAGGTTGGTGCCACACCAATGAATGCTGCAACTTACAACAGGAACTTGCTGAGAAGGCAAATGGCAAATGAAGGGACACCTCTGAATCCTAGAATGAGGCTGGAAGTGTACTTGTTTGCTTTGTTCAATGAAGACTTGAAGCCTGGACCAACCTCAGAGAGAAACTATGGTCTCTTTCGGCCAGATGAATCCATGACTTACAATGTGGGTTTGTCTGCTCTTGCAACCTCGTCAGCATCAACCTCCTCCTCTTCGATTTCTCTTGCTTCCTCTGGCGCTAAGATTAAGGTAAAACCATAGATTGTAAAGTTATTTTTCATCATTATATTAGTTGCTTAGCTTATAGTGCAAAACTTATGTCATAGAGAGAGAACATGTGGGAATAATAGATCCTCTCTATTGTTGGAATAAAAACTTGAATCGTAATCTAACTGTTTATTCTTTTCAACTTCAACTTTAAAACATAAATATATTGAAGGGTTAGGATCTCGTGAAACAGCAATGTCACTGTAGATGATATATTATGAAAAGTGGAAACATGCATATAGGGATATATGTGTAATTTCCAAATTGACCAACTTATAATTAACCAATTGTACATTTTATTGAAAAGCTTTCTACTATTCTATCTTGTAATTTTTATGTAGGTAGTTGGTGCATATCTTCTAATTGAATCAAATTATTTTCTTTGATCCTTTTTGTTCCTTCAATTTAAATCAAAATTTACATTGAAATAGGTAGCAGCACCATGGGAATGCAAAAGCTTGGTGAACTTGATGTTTGTATATGTGCTGATTTCAACCCTATATGGGTGAAGAATATCCCTATAGTACTGTGGAATTCATGTCAAAATCCCCATTCAGTACAGTTGGGATTTTACTTCCTGAAAGGAGATCCACCACTTAAACAAAGGCATTCATTATGGAATCTCAAGTTTGAACATTAAAGGTACCCTATTTTGCAGAAAATAGAGACCAACACAAATTCCACACAATTGGGCAGTAAAATCATAAAAAATACAGCATAGGAAGAAAGGAATTGAAGTGGAAGAATGGAAGATTACCCAACGTTTAATCAAGTGGCTGTGCTTACGTCCACTTACCCCACCATTAGTCAGTAGTCACATTCTAGCAACTAGCCATGTGGCGGTGATGGGAAACTGAGCTTATTTTAGGTAGACAAGGGACAAAAGCCATCTCATTCTTTCAATGCAAGATGTTGCACAAGAATAAATTATAGTTTCAATTTAATTGCTTTGATTATGTAAAGTTAATTTTACTTTCCTTTGTTTCCTCGACAAGATTATGTTACTAAAAAATGACAAGTGAAGAATCTTTTATTGGCCTTACTTAAGCCAACTTTACATGTTTAAGATGGTTGTATCATGATAATTGTTGTTATGTTTACTATGTCACATGTTATCAAATTATTATTAGATAATTTATAAAAACAATTTTATTCAATACATATTTGATTTTTGGTTTGAAGAATGTATTAAAAATGTCACATATAATAAATCAAAATAGAGTATATAAGTAAAAACAATCTTGGCTTTACAAACTGATATTGTCAGATAAAATTAAGTTAAAATCAAATTTATATTTTTAAAATGGTATATAATAATCGATGTTGAGTTTATTGTATCATTTGAAATAGTTATTAGATTATTTGTAGATGTTCATTCATATTATTTGACTAAATGAAGAATGCATATTCGATATCTAATCTCAAACACTAATGCAATTAAAATAAATTTTCATATTTTTAAAAATTGAGAATTAAATAATGGACAGGTTTCCAACTTTTACTTTTAACGGACGTAGCATACAAGTAGACATAACCAAAAGTAAAAAATTCCTAACTTTTAATTTCATTAATGTAAAGCATATATAACCAAAAGAGTTAGTCCTTGAATTATATAGAGGCTAGCCGTCTCTGCGGCTCTACCGCTTGCAATATGCATCACCTTATTGGTTGTTAAGAATGCTCTTCATTTGGGAAGGTGGAGTCCATGACCGTTTCTATTTGTACATGATTTTATAATTATAATATGTCCCAAGATTATTTGTTTTTTTTGGTTTATTTTAAAAGAGGTACATTTTCTAAGATTATGATTCCTTCTCTCTTTTGCCGCTTTTACGATCTTGAGTATGCTATAGTATAAAGTTTAATAAAAAAATTGTTGAAAATCTAAATATAATACGCAAAGATAAGGGTTTGTTTGTTTCTATTATCCTCTAGACGACAATGGGGCGGTCATGCTTTATTCTCTCTGCCAAATAGGCATCAGCATAGGGTCATTGCCCCTCCTTTCCCAAAGGTGCCTTTATCAATGGTTTATTTGTTTAATTAAAATATTCCTTTTCCTTTAGACCTTCTATTTTTCTTCTCTTAATTAAAGAGGGATAATCAAACCTCAGCCATATGAGAAAGTGATGGGATTGGTCTAGCTCTTTGACATCATCTAACGTGGTTCACATGAACCCCTCAAATTTAGTATTTCTTCTTTTCATTTGGAGGCATAACAAAGAATCCACCAAGAATATTTGTGTTCTCGTATTATATATGGAGTTGATCGAACATTCTGATTTGAAACTGCGTCCTTCAGACATGTGATGTGGCAACATTTTGGCCTTCTACCGGTTGGATTAAAGTATTATAAGACGTATCCCAAATAAGGGTCCCATGGCATAGAACTTAAGCATGTGAAGTGCTCGTCTATTATTGATGACCCTGAAAAACTTTTATCCTTGTAATCTTAAGGCTATGCTATTTCATAGTCTCTTTCTTTTGCCAGGTTGCTAACCCATCCATTCATACTCAACAAATAACTCATAAATGATTTTGTCTATTTTCTGTGTTCGGGATATGTTTTCTATTATTTATGATCTTTTGAATTGTAGTATTATACAACGCTAGATCAATCTATCACCTTTTGGAACTTCAACATGGCCCTGCTGAAATTTTAGGGCGCAATGGTGATAAATGTCATAATCATTTTAAAACTAGATACGTGTAGTAGCTTTCAAATATATTGACTTATCGAAAATGGATAATGTGGGAACCTTTTTCATTCTTTTCCTTATCGAAAATGTGCAATTAACCTTGTTTTCAGCGTCTCAACCACCTTTAACATATTTTTGGTTCACATGTATCAAGTATCCATAATTTGATTTTTTAAGTACTTTATAATTTATAACTTTTTAACTATTTTTTTATTTTTAATTTTCATTAATTTATCTATTTTTTCACTCTTTTTAATTAACTAATCATTTTACTTATCGATGTCATTTCCTGATTCTCATTATAAAAACACTTTTATGTCATTTTTACATTTAATATTTAGTTTATCAATTAAATTTAGTAAATACTTTTAATTTAATTAATTAGCTTATAACTTTTTAACTTTTAGCTTATAACTTATAAGTTTTTAATTATTTTAAAAGTTTTCAATTAATTTATAAACTAGTTTTATAAAACACACTTAATGTATACCCTTTCCATGTATACATAATCAATCCACTTGGTAAACAAAACTGGGATAACATAATGAGAGAAAAAAAAAACCGTTTTCTTTCATAATATAATTTGAAGGACAAAAATAATTCACTCTAAAGTAATATTTAATAATACATAAATGTGATAGTTTGTTTTTATGTACACAAATTTTTATCTTTATAATCACTTTCAAACCACTCTCTCATACTATCGTTTTCATTCTTTTCTTATACTTTTCGGAGATCTTCAACTAATCACCCATCCCATTATTTTTTTTATTTTTAAAATAATAGAAGCATGTAATATCTCTCCTCCACTAGTCATCATAAAGTACACATTAGACAAGAATGACCACAAAATAGGCATGTTTTCAGAAGAAGAGAAGAAAAAACAACTATTTACTTCAAGAGGGAGATTAGTAATTGGAAAGAGAGAAATAAAAATGAAAAAAAAACTTTTTTAACAAATGCACTTAAAAAGAAAAAGAATTAGGCATGTATTTAGTAAATAAGGGATGCAATTAGTCAAATCCTAATTTTTTTTTTGGTTTTGCACCGATATTCTTAGGTATTTTAGACTAATATGATTTAGTCGAAAGATAAATAAAATTTAATAAAAAATTATTTTTATCAAAAATGGAACTCGAATATTTGTCCCCTAGTCCCTGGTTTGCCAAAGTCTAATTAAAACTGATGAATTGATTTCAAACATTGAATTCATTTTATTCCTATCCAACCTCGTGGGCTTTGTGTTGGTTTTTGAAGGGCCCATCTTAGCAAAACTTGCTTGAAGCCCAACCCAAAAACTAAACAAGGGTGAGAAACAGAAAGACAGTCACCAAGTGTTCCATGCGAGAGCGAGAGTGAAAGGAACGTTGTCGAGATGAGTCTTCGCCATATGGAGGTGGTTTTGCATGATTTCAATGCGAGACTGAGGTTGTCATGCACTTTTGCTATGTACTTTCAGAAGCTTCTTGTTTAAGTGTTCCATACTTCCATGTTCTTCTCTTCTCCCTATGTATACGCTGCTTCAGTCACATTGAACACACAATTCAACTTAAACAAGAATAATATTTACTAATCAGAGGTATATTTAGTCCAATATACCACTGATTACTAAATATATTGCTGCTTTTGTTTTGGAGTCACATTAGTGCAAGAATTACTGTCAGAAGGCACATATACACAATTTTTGTGTTACGAACAAGTTGTATAAGTTTCTAAGGTTGCTTTCATGTTTAGGGTTTATTTTTAAGGTTGCTTTCATGTGCCATTTCAAGATACAACGGCGATCAGGTTATCATTAGTCTATATACATTATTACCATGGGTTAAGATTCTATAGGTTTAACTCACAAAGGGATAACTACAATATTACTCTAATTCTTCTGCCCCTAAAATAGATCATAATGGTTATAAAAGGTTTACATATTGTTTCGGCTAATTCAACTTCTAATTTAAATCAAAAGATAAATATATTTCTTCTAAAAAGAGTTGAATTAGATAACAAAAACACAAGTTCAAACAAAATACATTCAAAATATAATAGGTAAATTAAAGTGAAACGTATATTCTAAAATGCATAATATTTTAACTTAGGTTTATTTTTTATTATCACACACACATATATTTACATACATATATATATATATATATATATATATATTATCTCCCAAAAGTGCAAGCCCAAACAAATTTAGTACTAAAAGTCCATGAATAACCTAAAGTAAATACTCCAAATAAATTTTTAATGCAAATAAATCGATATTAATTGGTACAGATAGTAATGACTTGTCTCTCTTAGTTAGTATGTAGGGTTCGAAGTCGGGATATTTCATACTAATACCAAATTTATAAAAAAAACAATACAAATAATGCTTCATATAGGGATGACAATGGGGCTCCATGGGGCGGGTAATAGTAAACCCGTCCCTGCCTCGTTAGATAAAAATTGGCCCCATACCCACCCTTCGCGCAGGTATCTATTAAGCGGATATCCATGAATTTCTTGAATACCCATGGATATCCATAGATATTTATAAATTTTTTAAGAAATTAAAGAATTTATATTACAAATAATTTTAAGTTTATATTTAATGTAATTGAAATATTAAAAATAAAAATTCAATGTTAATTTTGAACTTTTATTTAACGTTAATTTTGTTGAAATAATAATAAAAATGCAAGATAATCAATAACTTAAAATAAATCAATCTCACAAGTAAGTTAAAGTCTCATCACAAAGCTACAATAATTCAATCTCATAATTTCAAACGAAAGTAAACAACTTAAAATACATAAATTTTATTGGTCCTATAAAAGATAAAATATTAATCAAATTATATCCAACATAATTCTATAACATGTTTAACACATGTTGGTAACTTCATCAACCTCGCTTTTGTAAGAAAAAAAATGAGAGAGTGTAGTTTTAGGGTTATGTGATACAAGGGTAATTAGGATATTTAAGAAAGATTATTGAACGGGTACCCGCGGGTATGGATATCATCATACCCACCCCCGCCCGTGTATAAACGGGTAAAAAATTATCCGTCTCCATTATCCGCGGGTATCCCATTAGCCTATCCATTTATTATCCGTAGCGGATTTTACCCGTAGATACCCGCGGGTACGGGTATTTTTTCCATCCCTAGCTTCATATTAATATCATAATTAAAAAAATTAATGCAAAATAAGCTAAATTGATTCTCTCTAAAATAGACCCAAAAGATTAGGGAAATTACGAAAACATTATAAACATGATATTAAGTAAAATAAAAAGGAAGCAAACATTTGAGGCTAGGATTCACACTAACAAGGCTAATTTATAGATTTTTTTTTACTATTTTATTATTATTTGAAATTAAAAAGGAC